TATATATATATATATATATATATATATATATATGCAAATATATATATATATATATATATATATATAATTGAATGTTTATTCAAAGGCAAACCTACCTAGGTTTCTCCTACGTGGATCGTACCTGACGATCCGCGTTGGTGAAACCCAGGTAGGTTTGACTAGCTCTTTAGGTTCATAGTTAGATTGGCTCTACTTAATGTATTGAGCACTTTGCTTAGTTATTTTTATTTTACTCGGGTCGGAGGTTTTTCTTTTAGGACTCTGAGCTTGGATTCTGGTCGATTATTTTCGCCAAAATTACATGTTTCTAGTTTTTTCTTTTTTTATTTCTTTTTTTTTCCTTGGGTATTGTTTTGTTCATTTACAAGCTAATACATCTAAGGTTTTCCTGGACGAGTATACTTACGTATATTTATAAGATTATATATATATATATATATTTCTACATGAAAAACTACACATTATTAAGTGTCTAAATAATAAAAATCTATTAAACAATAGACATGAGCTAACGGTTTTTTGCCGACATCATCAAATTTTTGCATTGAATAATTAGCATAAAAACAAACAAACAATAAAATAATTTTTAAAACACATAGTCCTAATAAATAGTTTAATTGCTCTACAAAAAAGATAACCCTTTATGAAGTCGTCAAAAAACAAATGTTAGCGATTTACGACAGTTTTTATATACATAAAACCCTTTCAGAAAAAAATAAAATAAAAAAATAAATCTACAGAGACGCTTAACCAGACTAGGCGATGTCATCTTCCGCTTTAAATTTAAACACCCCAACCTAGCCCTGATTTGACATCTGTGAATGTAACTGAGATATTGATACACATTATTAACACCTTACGCCCCTTTTTCTTTAAACAATTGCTCTAGCCGTTACCATAAAAAATTTTGATTTCAATAATGAAAATGCTTATAAAACACGTAAATTTCAGATATAAGTTATTCCAAAAAAAATTTCGCTTGAAGATGGAACAGAGCTTAGTACTTTACTTCAATTTAATTCAAATAATTATATTGAAGTTTTCAACTTGTTTAGAAACATGAGAACTCTTATGTAGCGTGTTGGAATCATATTTTAAATAAATAAATAATATATATATATATATATATATATATATATATATATATATATATATTCTTCTTCTGAAACTATAGTAATTGAAAATTGATTTTCTCATAGTTACCGATTAATTAAAAATTTTCTAAATATTAAAAATGTAAAGTGGGTAACTATTTAGTTTGTCCAATATTGCGCTCTCTAATTAATTACAATTTTTAAAAAATGGACGTTTATATGTGGACACATTTTAAAATACGAGCCGATAATATAAATACATATTTGAATATTTGTTTCTACTTGTCTATATTAATTTTTTTTTTTTGAATATTTTAATTTTTGTCATGGTTATTTTAAAATAAGGAATTATAAGGAATTTTCTGATTTTTTGTTAAAAAAATGAACATTTTATTGAATACAAAAATTTACATTAAAAATATCGAAATATAAAAGATGCATGAATTTACTAAGAAAAGATAATAAATAACATTTTCAGATTAAAATACTAATTATTATATGATTAAAAAAATTCAAAAAATAGAAAATATACATAAGTTTCTGTCTATATTTCTGAGATGAGGTATTATATACATTATTCGGAATATTGTCCCCATCTTTGTCGCCATGCTTATTTTCAAGTACACATGGCACAGTGGATAAAGGCGTTAGTTAGATCCAGTGACAGGATTCAAAGAGTGTGAGTTCAATACCCGATTAAGGCAGTGGAGAACTTTCAGAGGGGATATAACTGATAACTGACATCCATTAAACATGGCACGTCTACCCCAGTGAGCTAAATAAAGGGTTCAGTTCGACATTCCAACCACCTGAAGATGGCCGGAGCGTACAACGGCCGAAACGTTGTAAGAAATATGGCGACAAAGATGAGGACAATAGTCCAAATAATGTATACATAAGTTTCTTTTTAAAACCATTTTATTTGTTTTAGATTTTAATATTTACCTTCCCGCCAGCATAGGAAGTTGACAAAGAAGGAATTAGAAAAAAATTCAGGGTCATTGAAGAATTTACGGGAAAATGTTTAAATGCAGTTATTGATGAAGACAGAAGCCGGCAAATTTGCAGGAAATTTAAAGGGGCAATTTCTCAGTACCGCCAATTATAGTGATTTTCTAAGCCTGGCTTAGATGCGACAAAAGGGTGAAAGTAGGGGGTACCCAGTGAGGATCGAAATCACTACTCAGTTGTAATTGATCTAGCGAGACAAGTTTTCAACAATTAAACCACATCGAGGCGCTTTTATTTTTCTAAGCTCGGTTTAGACGTGACACAAGGTCGAAAGTAGAGGGCACCCAAGGATCGAACTCACTACTCAGTCGTAATTGATCTAAAGGAGACAAGTTTTCTAACAATTAAACCACATCGAGGCGCCTTTATTTTTTTCTAAGCTCGGCTTAGACGTG